GTCACAAAGTACCTCATGCCACCTGAAGCTCTGTGCTCCAGTTTCCTCCCCTGTCAAATAGGGCTGATAATGGGGCTGGTGTGGAGGCCTGTCAGAAGGTACCAGCACCACTGACATCTCTGTCCATCAGACCCCAGCCCCAAAGGACATGGGTTTCCCCAGTCTAAGTTGTCTGTGGGGTAGGAGTCGGCCCCATTCGGCTCTGATTGGGAGCCTGGCTAAGCTTGTCCATGGGTGACTTGAGATAGGGACCAGTGGATAGAAGTGGCTGAGCAAGACTCTGGGGAGAGGCTCTGACTGAGGCTGGCATGGAGGACACTCGGAAGGGCCAGCAGGGCTCAGAGGAAGGGGCACCCAGAGGAGGGAGGAGGCATGACATGGGGTTGGCCTGGTGGCCACAAGCCCTAAGTTCCTAATTCAGCTGGAGCCTGCGGAGTTGGGACTTGTTTATTCTTGGCAGGAAGGCTGGTGCTGGGGGGCAGGAGTAGGGAATGAAGCCTTTAAAAAAAAATAATAAAAACACTCATTTAGAAGGCTCCCAAGGAGTGCTGAACTCCAAAAGGGTCTTGGAAAAATTGCTGAGAGGGTTTAAGTGTAAATGGACCCAAAACACCATAATTAAATTTCCCTTAAATTTACCAGAGTTTGGGGTCAAAGAAAAAATAAAACTTAGGGAAAATACACTTGAGGTTTCAGACAAATGCCAAGTGCTTAGGAAAATAGATTTCTGAACTGCTCAGCGGCTACTGGCCTGGTCCCCGCCATCTCTGGGAGCTGCTGAGGCCTTAACCCCTCCTTGGCCAGTCATGTCACAGGGGCCTTCCTGGCACCCTGGCTAGCCTTACCTTGCTGGCTGCCTCCTGCCCCCTCAGCAGGCTCCAGGTGGGGCAGCCTGTGCACTCACCCTTCATCTACCCCTCTCTCCTGTGTCTGCAGATGGCTTGGTCTTCTTTCTTTGCTCATCTGGGAGCAGCCACATTTTCCAAACCAAGTCAGGACTTGAGGTCTAGTGGTCTAAATGAACCAAAGGCCAAAAAGCCGAAGATGTTTGAACTGGGACTGTCCCAGCATGTCCAGGATGACAGCCTCCCAACAGCTCATGATTCATGGTGTTGCCCTTTTTGCTTAGCCTGCCAGGAAGCTCAGAACTAAAATTAGGGATCTTGCACAGTAGCTAGTGTTGGCTAAGGGATTTTGGAATATTTTCTCTTCTTCTCCATGTTCTTTAAAATTCCATTTCTGTTATAATAAGTAGATCAAATGTGCTTTTTATTTTAATCCTCCTCAAATTCTCTGAGAATTAAAAAAAAAATTCTCTGAGAATAAATTTAACTTTTTTTTTTTTTTTTTTGAGACGGAACCTCAAGCTATCCCCCTGGGTAGAGTGCCATGGCATCATGCTCACAGCAACCTCCAACTCCTGGGCTCAAGCGAGTCTCCTGCCTCAGCCTCCCAAGTAGCTGGGACTACAGGCGCCCGCCACAATGCCCGGCCATTTTTTTTTGGTTGCAGCCATCATTGTTGTTTGGCGGGCCCGGGCTGGGGATTCGAACCCGCCACCTTAGGTGTATGTGGCTGGTGCCTTAGCCGCTTGAGCCACAGGCGCCGAGCCGAGAATAAATTTAAAAGGCAGAAATTACCCACAAACTATAACAGTCAGGGCCCTGCTCAAACCTGCTCTCTCTTCTTTGAGGAAAGAGGTTCAGCCCAGCCCAGCTCAAGGACCTCCCCTCTATCTGTGATGGCCTGCCCTGAGGTGGGGGTAGTAGTGGTTCCCAGAAGAGGTGAGGATGCATGATGACAGAGGGGGAGCTTCCAGGATCCTAAGAGGCCCTTGAAAGAAGTAGACTAGGGAGAAGACTAGAAGCCACACTGGGCACTCAGTGCCTCCATGGAGCCCATGCACAGCTGAGGGAAGCTCTCACCAGCAGCTCCTGCCCTGGGCCAGGCGGCCCTCACAGAGAGCAAGCTGAGCAGGCACTTCAGGGGCTTCCCATACCCTAGATTCCAGGCCGGCTTTCAGCCTCACTGAACAGCTCCCTCTCAGGTACTATAGTAGTAGCTGTCTGCCAGGAGTGTCCCCTCTGTTGACAGCACAGGATGGGTGGCTGGCCACTGCCAGCCTGCTACAGCCCTGCACCCAGGGCACAGGCTTTTCTCCCAGGCACCCTCTGCTGCTCACTGACACAGGCCCCAGCAAGCTGGGGCTACTCAGTTCTGAGTCACCAGCCTGGTCCAGGCTGGGCTGAGCCATGGGCCCCTCTCACTGCTAGCCTCAGTCTCTGCCCCTACACTCATACAGGGATCCCCACCTGTCTGGGCCTCGGAGACTTGTGGAGCGCAGGGGAGTGGTCAGAGAAGTGGTAACAGAATAGGAGTCCTGCAAGTGTGGTGGTTCTCTGTCCTCCTCACCTGCCCTGGGGCCCAAGAGGACTCATCACCTTGATCATGTGCTAAGAGGATCCAGCAGGGCAATACAGCAAATTGCCTCCAGAAGAAATGCTCCATCAAGGGGGCAATGCACAGACAGTGCCACCAGAAGCCAGGAAGCATGGTCCAGTCCAAGCATAGACATCCCAGGAGCTGCTGCTCCCACAGACCTGCAGTCACGGAAAGCCTCCAGAACAGCACATATCAGTTGCACCTTTCTGCTAGGAAATGATCTATTTGAATGATAAAATCATTTTGACCATATTCTGTGCTTTCAATAACACCCTCCCTTGGTGGTGGTAGAGCAAAGTGTACAGTGACCCTTTGCATATGGCAGCAGGTGGCATTAGGGCTGTTTGAAAGCAATCTGGCAGAATCCACAGAGCCAGGGACACATTCCTGCCCTTTGACCTAACTGTGCTAGACCCTGCCCATGGAGGGTTGGGGCAAGGGTGTAACAAGAGACCACTTCAGAATGTGGACTATGCCAAAGGACCATGCTACCATGGGTTCTGCAGTGAGGCAGAACAGTACCTCCCCTAGACATCCACGTCCTGACCCCTGAACTCTGGGAATGTGATCTTTTTGGGAAAAAAGGTCTTTGCACATGTAATGAAGGTAAGAATCTTGAGGGGATCATAGTGGCTTATTCGACTGGGCCTAAATCCAACGACAAATTTCCTTACAAGAGATGGAAGAGAGGATGGCCAAGAGGGGGACAGAAGAGACTGGAGTGATGTGGCTGCAAGCCAAGGACACCTGTAGCTGGCAGTAGGAGCTGGAAGAGGGAGGAAGGAGCCTTCTCCCAGCCTTCTCTGAGCCTGCAGGAAAAAGTGCAGTCCTACTGACACCTTGATCCCCGACTTCCACTCTCCAGAGCTGAGATAGAGTGCACATATGCCAATCAGTTTGTGGTCACTTGTTAGTTACGGTTGCTCTAAGAGGGGACCAGGCATGAAACACACAGCTTCAACCCAGGCTGCTAAAGGAGGAAGAGAGGGGCTCCTCCTGCCCCTGCAGGGCTGTGGCTGTGAGGCCACAGGTCAGAAGGACAGGAAGCAGACAAGCCCTATCTCCAGTGTTCCCCCACCACTGCACTAGCGCTGCACAGGGAATCTGGGGTGCAGTCTTCCAGTCAGGCTTTCAGGGACAAATGGGAGAAGGGATGTGATGGGGGCATGGTCCTGGGGGAGGACCTTCCTACCTGCAGGGACTTCAGAGGGTGCTAGGGGTGGACTTTGGCCATCCTAGGGCCCTGAGATTGTCCCAGAGACACCCCAGCCTCTGGAAGGACAGGTTGAACCTGGAACTGCAGGGTGGGCCCCACACAGTGGGCTGGGAGGGTGAGCTAGCAGCCAGTTAGTTACTGCCCATTTATCCAGTGAGCAAATCAAGTTCCCAAGCCACAGCCCAAGCACTGGGCCAAGGCTACCTTCTTGCTGCTCTGGCTCCCATGTCCCCCGACCAACCTGGGCTTCCTGTTCCTTGTAAAGATGGACACAGGAGCCACCGGTAATTGGGGAGTGGTGGAGCCAGACACCCCCAAAGTCCCTGTAGGACAGCGTTTACTGCTTGCCGCTTGGGTGAAAGGCCAGGTTAGGTGTCCCTGGGAACCCTCCCCAGATAGAATTTGTCTCCTGGTAACAGTGTCCCAGCACCTTGGGCCAGCTCAGACTGTGCCACCACCTCCCCACTAGGGTGGGCTCCTTCTCTGCCCCCACCCAGGGTCTCCAGCCTCTGCGTACTCTCCATCTGAGGCTGGCAAACACCCAACCTCCAAACCTGCGTCCTCCTGGGGGACCCGGGGGCACCAACCATCTGTCAGTGAACTCAGCTGAGCCACTCCTGTGCTCCAGGTTTGATAAATGCAGCAGTAAGCCCCCCATAGCCCACCTCTGCCGCTTAGCCTAGTTTCCTGCATCTCAGGGCCAGGTAGATGGGCCATGCTGTCCTTCACCCCAGGCCTCTGCACACAGAGTCGTCTCTGCTTGGAATGCCGTCCTGCCCTCCTCCACCTGAGGAATTCCTGCTCCACCGCAGGGCTTAGCTGACTGAGGCCTCCCTGACATCCCGTCCCCCACCGAGACCACCCCTCTGCGGCCCCGGCCCAGAGTACAGCCCCAGCGCGACCGGAGCTGCGCGCTGTGCAAACAGAGGCCTGAGCCTGGCGTCAGTGCACCCCTCGAGGACTGTCCTGTGGTGTGACTGGGGGCTTTGCTCGCCTGCCGGGCTCCCACGCCCTCCGAGACCGCCGGGCGCCCCCGCCCGGCCACTCTCCCACGAGTCCCCCGCTCTAGGACCGCCCCTGAGGAGGAGAGTGTCCCGGCTCCCCAGCGAGCAGGGGCGGGGCGGGGCGGGCGCGGGCCGTCCCCCACTGGCTGCAGCCTGCGGGGTAGTAGCCGCTCAGTTCGCTGTGGTGGTGGCGGCGGCGTCGGCGGCGTCGCGGGCAGCTGGCGCAGTGAGGTCCTGCTTTGCCGGTCGCACGACGCACCAGCCGGCCGACAGCCAGAGGGTCGGGACGGGCGCTGCGCCGGCAGAACGCGAGCTGGAGCGGGAGCCGCGAGCAACGAGCCGGGCTCCTGCGCCTGCCAGGTGGGTGTTGGGGCCAGGCAAACGCACGGAGGGGCCAGGGCGAGCGCGCGGAGGGGCCGGGACGCGCGGTAGACCCAGATCCAGAGCAGTCCCTGCCGCGGGCCGGGCTGGGGCTCAGGCTTCCCGCTCTGGAAAGTTTGCCGCCGCCGCC